CAACGTGCAGCTGTTGTAATTTTTCTATTGAGGGATAGTGGCAGACTACCATTCCTGATTTGAGAATGCTTGCTGAATTCGCACCACACCCATCCTAATTTTTACAGTTAACTCACCACGCATATCACATATATATTATATATCATATATCGTATCACATATTATAACATGCCACATACCATGTCAACTCGCATGTTATGTATCGAATACATCAGCCTCGTATGCAAGAGGTCCGTCGTTTTGAATCTCGGTGCCGGACGATTCCCAACCAGAATTTTTTAATGTACATGGTGATGGAATTGCATAAAAAAGTCTGGGATGTGAACCTCACTGGCTACAATAGCCGGTAATGCACGCACTCCTGACAACAGAGCAGGATTGGCCGCCCTGATGCGGTACTTGGCCACTACCTTGAATACACCAATTTCTATAAAATACATGGCTTTATCATGCCCTATGTGCTCCTCGTTTCTCTCCTTTTCACCCTCACTTTTCTTCCCAAGCCCATTGTTATGCTATACAAGCCTATGCTATAGTAGTGATATGCTCTCTCCCGTCCTTCTTTCCCTGTTTCTCACGCTTGACTTCACTTTCCCTCGCCGTGACTTTTGATACTCTTGGGTTCTTCAACTCCGCACCAGGCCTCAAGCGGGTTTACTCTAATGAAACGCACCTTTCCGCAGCCCGGGTTTGATCTAGTGACTTTTAGGTCAGCATTCGAGCTCCGTAAGTACTAGACAACGACAGGCGATGCGTGTATGCCACCATTCGGAGAGTCTTCAACATTCCGTAAGTAGACGCACAATCTCGCGCTCATCCCCAAGGGCCTTCCACCTCAGACGACGTAGCAGCGCTCGTGCCTCAGGCGGCCTCGTCGTTCTTACTTCAATGGCCTGCCTGACGTGCGCGAAGCGGCGCCACCTTGCTTCTCTCCCGAGAAGCCCGAATGGTAGCTCGTAATCGTCCGCTGTTTCACGTCCTATATTTACTTGTCCACTGCACGCTTTCCAGTCAACGTCGATAGAGTTCACTTCGCTGCGTGTGCTCGCCCTTGACGGCTGACTACACCGGGCACTTAGCTCGATTGCATGCATGAGTAAACGCGGATGACGATAAAGGAGGTGCAATTATGCGCGTCCAGGCCAATGCACGAGCGATGTTTTTTCGCCCAATGGCTGTACGACGAAGCGTCTAGCCAACATCCCGTGGCGGTGCCTACCCACCCAGATAAAAAAAAGTTCTCCTTATATGCGTCTACTCATTTCATTTCATACACCAAGCCACGCCCTGGGCACAGGAAAAGAAAGATAAGGAAATACAGAGTTAGTACAGCGGCCTGTTTCACCCAGTCAGTTTTTCATCGCTTAAGGCTACGAGTTTCAGAAAATCTCAGTTAGTAACATTGCACATCTCGTCGTTCTTTTTTTTTCTTCAAAAGTCTTAACGACAGTAAAATGGATAAAATAAACTCGAAGGAAATGCTATAGTTCTACGCATATGTTTGTTGATTGGCTTACTAGGCTGAATTTCTTTTTCTTCGGTATCATGCAATTTTATCCGCACTGCTATAAACACCGATTAAACTCATTAATACACTATCAGCTTTAGTGTTCTTATCAAGTGTGCACTGGCTTAACGTGCCCATTGACATAATAAATTCGAAAGGCTGTTTATCTCGGCTACATGAGGCAATAAAAAAAGTAAATGATAGAAATGAATCAAGAAACTAACTATCAAAGATTTCCTTTCCTATCAAAACTTATACCTTTCCTCAAACCTTGTTTATCCCATTTATTCAGCAAGCCGGCTTTGTGTGCTTTTTTCTCTTTTTTTTAGCTTTCAGGGGCCTTTACAGTGGCAATCGGTTTTTCTTAACTACTTTTATCAAGCACGCGTCATATAAACTAAAGTGCAGCAATGAAACGAGAATTGCGAACATTACGGGCTATGTCGAAGACTAGAATTGAAAGACGAATGTGCACTTATTCTGAAAATGCAGTGTGGGACATATATGCGTGCCTCGGCATCACATCACGTGATACCGAGGCACGTAAATAATACTCTAAACATAATCAATCAATCAATAATACTCTAAACAAAAATGCATATATCAAGTAAGCTCATTAGCACCCTCGGTAGAAAACACTTCGGAGCCCCAACTTCGACTGTGTTCATCCCAGATAGGTATGAATTGCTTGTTACCACGCTTATTATCAGCAAGCTTGTATTTTCGGCTTGCGAACTGCTAACTGGCCTTGTTATTCGGTCAAATAAAGACATTGCTTTTTCTTTCAGTTGGAATGCCTTATAGCGCAGCGTAACTGGGAATACCGAGACAAAAGAAATTGACGAACGGACGCAAGTACACGTTGCATCCTTGGGACTACGTTGTGTTACGCTATATACCAACTCTTACACGGTGTCCTGCTTCGGTGGTCTAGTGCCTAAGGTGCTGACCCGCAGGTCGTGGCATCGAATCCCGACTACGGCGGCTGTATTTTCGACGATGGCGAAAATGCTGTAGGCATGTGTGCTCGGATTCTGGTGCACGTTAAATAACACCAAGTGGTTGAAATTTTCGGTGCCCTTCACTACGGCTTCTCTCATAATCACACGGTAGTTTGGGGACGTTAAACACCACACATATATCTATTAGCTTTTCCATGGTTACAAACAAGCCCGCATTATATCCTCATTGACTTCTCTTCATCTGCTTAGTACTTATAGGGCGTCAGGTACGCCGGCCAGTACCGTAAGTGTGCATAGCACATGAATTTTTTAGGGGCGAAGCTGTTCTTTGTCGAAGCTTTGATGTCCGGGGGCGCTCCTTGATTGTAAGTCACAGCGTTATTTACCCACACAAAGCGAGTTTATATCACTGCGAATAATCTGCCTCTCCTCCCGCTACTCCCACTACTTTCACAACTCACCCCTACGACCACCACTGCTCTCGAGACTATCCACCTATCGTTCACTCTCTTCATTCCAACCTAATTCCCGCTTCACTAAACTCACTTCAATCATCCTCATTGCACGCCACAAGGTCTCGCTGTTTCCTCAGTGCCCGCCAAGCCAAGCTGAAGGAATTTGTTCAGTACTTTTCGAATATCGAACTGCTTTGTTAACATCGGCTGAAGAGCGAATCTTCAGCCACTTTTCAAACGAAGAATAATTTCTAGGTTAAAGTTCCTATACTTACTCTATCACGGTCAGTTTTAAGATACCGCACAATCTGTACTTACAGGACCCATTTAAACACTCACTCAGGGACAAACCATAATAAGGTCATCTTTCAACCTGCTAGCCGTGTCAATACACATAAGTATTCTTTATTTCCAATGGCCATTAGTTTTTGGAATAAGCTGCCACATGCTGTGAATTGTTCTACGCTGGAATCTTTTGTCAACTGTCTAGAAGAGATTGATTTTTCTAAAATGTATACATGTTAATCACGAAGTATCCTATGTGTATCAATACTTTCTTTCTTTTCTTTTTGTGGAGCGTTATTATGTCTCATGTAACCTCTATGTATCCACTCCTGAATGGGCCTGATTAGGGCCTGCAGTATGTATAAATAAATAAATAAAAATGAATAACCGAACAGCGTGTATATAGGGGCGATAGAAAGAAATACCCGCAAACTTAGCAGAGCGTGAAACCACAGCGCGAGCGAGAACGACTACCAAAGACCAATTCTGGCCAGTACCTCTGAGTACCCGCGAAAAAATGCCACTGTACAAACAAGCACTGATTTCAAAATCTATTCAAACAAAGTGCAGACGTGCCAAAAAGTAACTTGGTGCCCGAGCACAAATTACGTCGATTTTGGATGTATTTCCCGAACAATGCTAAGCAATTTTCGAGCCACCGCGAGTATTAAATAGGTCTATTTTTATCTCTCTCCTAAATAACGCAAAGAGCAACGTTTACTGGTCCTCGCAAGTTACAATAACCCGCCACCCGTTATGAGATGCTGTAAAAACTGCGTATGCTTAAAATTAAGAGGAGTCAGTTATCAGGCTCTTCTCGAAGCTGCGTACAAGACCAAATAGAAAAGGTGATTTAACAAAATATTATAGTTAGTTACGCTCTCCCCGGACGAGAAATTCGAAAACATCGTTGCAGCGGAATTTCGCGGAGTTTTTGGCGTAGCCTGTAAGCGATGACGTTAAAATTTCGCCATACGTAACTTCCGGTCAGTGAGCAAGTTGCATTATCTCTAGCGCAGCAGTGTGGTAGCTTTACTTTAAATTATTTGTCCTTTATTTTTTACGAGGTTCGAAGCTGCACTTTCGATGCGAGCTCGTGGTTTGCAGCATTATAACGCAGTCCAGTCGCGTAAAGATAACAAAATAAAAAAAACAATAAGAAAGAAGGAAAGTGATAGAAGAAGAAAATACAAGCAACAACTATTTCTATTCTTACAGACACCAAAACAATGTGTTACAGGTTGTTTTCTGGCAAAAAAGGAATTACGATTTTCTTTGAGCCACTAACGATTACTTAACTGCATTTTTCGGATGGAAAGTAAGGTCGTGAAAGGGCTCACAAAAAAAAAACTTAACTGCCACCTTTCTGCAAAAATAAAATCAAATAGAAGCTTTTGTTCCGTCGCGTTAACCCACAAGTTCTTTTGTTTCGCTGATATACAATACTTTTTCGTGTTAACTCTAGCCATATCGTCACTCTTACTGTACATGTTTTTTCCCCTTCTCCGGTTATTACCACGCCATTAACTGAGGTTGGTGGGAGATCAAAAACCGGGCAAGCCACCATAGCGGCAACGGCAGCGTAAACAGGGGCGTCGAGATAGCGTGAACGTGCCACAAAAGCGGCTTTCTTTATGATCGTCGTAAAAGCAAAACGGCATCGAACAGCCACGTTATAAACGTCGCATACGGTTTTTTTTTTTCTTCTTCTTCTTCGTACACATATACTTATGGACTCATGTTACGAGCACTGCTTTCCCTAAGTAACGCGTCGAAGCGTACGTTACTTACATTTGATACGCTTGTCCGACATAGTACTTAGTTTTCCACGTTTATTTCTAAATTTCCCGTCTCTCTATAGTATCTGATTGGTTCCTTTTACCGCGTTTAGTTTGCCACGTCTACCGAAAGTTACCCTTACCCTGTACCTCTTTCACAAGCACTCCTCTTCTTTCTATTCTCTGTACCCCAGCATTGTTTGTAAGTTTCCTCTCTCACTCCTTCCCCTCCTCTTCTTCATCTTCCTCATCCACCATGCATTCTCTTCAGCGCCGCCGGAGTATATCTACGTCAGCGCAGTCTTCCCGGCGCGCGAGCTCGAGCATAAATGAACCACGATATTTGCCGGTACGTTGCCTTATCTGCAGTGCGACAGTGTTGCGCGGCACAGCATGCACCGAGGCTCGCAGACGGGTCGAAGGCGAGACGGGCGGAGGCGCAAGAACAACACGTGGACGGCACTTCCGTGCGTGTCGTCGTATATTAGCGTTAATAGAAGTGCGAACTCACCGCAACCGGAGCAAGGGAGTATTAGCACTAGTAATATATATATATATATATATATATATATATATATATATATATATATATATATATATATATATATATATATATATATATATATATATATATATATATATATATATCCTTCGTGAGCGGTCACAACGTGGTTTATTTCGACGTTTCGGCCTAGAGTCTGGCCTTCATCAGGATTAAAGGTACAGTTTGTTGGTGCTCAGCTTTATACAATCTCAAATCAGAGGGAAAGGAAAGAGGAAAAAGACAGAAAAAAAGAAGAAAAAAGAAAAAAATAGAAAAAGAATATAAGGTGGACTCCCCTCGGGCGCCCCCCTTCCACTCTTCCTTCCACTTCCCCCTTCATCTCTCTCCCCCTTCTCCCCTTCACCTTTTTGATGTCAGTGGTCTGTGTATGCTTCCTTTCACTAACGCATTCTTCCCGACCAGACGGCGCCTCCTGGCACTGGCGGTTCGGTGTGGGGCAAAAAAGAGCTTTTTTAGGAAGTTCTAAGCTTTTAACTACTCGGAGCCCCGTCAACATTTCGTCGTAGAAAGAGGGGTACCGCGTATTGGGGCAGAGGCTGGTAAGCGGGCATTTTAGGAAGTTTTAAGCCTTTAACTACTCGGGGTCCCGTCAACATTTCGTCGTAGAAAGAGGGGTGCCTCGTATTGCGGCAGAGGCTGGTAAGCGGGCGCAATGCGAATTCCTTGCCCGCTTCTGGATTACGCGTGCAGTGGGGGCCTCCCGGCTGTGCACAGGGTTGCTGTTGGGCATGTCATGCATGGCACAATTGATTGGGTAGTAAAATAAAACAGAAAACAGACGACAGCTGCACTTTGGAAGAGTAGTTACACTTGGAATTGTTTTGAGTTGTCCAGTGCCCTTCGCAGCTGCAGTGCCGTGAACTCAGTTACTATTTTCATTATTGCCGTTATTGTTTTGTAATGCTTTAATTGCTGCAAGTATTCCAGGATTCTCATTTATTCCTCTATCGAGGGTGTTAAATCGGTGGATAAGGTATGACTCTCGTTGTTCACGTTCTCGATTTTATTTAAATCCCGTCTCTAAGAGCGTTACTGATAATTTGTCGAATGCATGGTCGGGAAGATTGAGATGTTTTGATAGAGGTAGACTTGGGGCTGATTTCGCATGGGCTCTGTGATTATTGAAGCGAATCCTAAATGGTGTTTCTGTTTGTCCGATGTACTGCATACCACACACGTTGCATTCGAGTAGGTATACCACATTAGAGGAATCGCATGTTAGGTTTCCTCGTATGTTAATCGAAAACTTGGATTGTGTGCTGGTTGCTTTGTGTGTTTCTCGCATCACCTTACATACAGACATCGTGGCTTTAAACAAGGTCGGCATGAATTATTGGGGGGTGATGTGTTAATTTGAGAGTGGACAAGTGTGTCTTTGAGGTTACGTGGTCGTCGGTAAACGACGCCTGGAGCGGATGGAAATGCGCGTTTCAGACATTCACATTGTTCCAGAATGTTGTAATGTCGTATAAGGATTTTGTTTACATTGGGGAAGTTTGTGCTGTAAGTCAAGCAGAGGTTTGTTCGTTGTGGGTCTTCTTGCGGTGGTCGCTTCATAAGTAAGTCTTCACGCTTTAGTTTTCTCGCTTTTTGAATAGCGTCAATAATTACATGTGGGGGGTATTTTTGTTTCTCGAGCATAAGTTTTAGCCTCTGTGAACTCGTGTCAAAGTCAGCGTCTCTAGAGTAGATTCGCTTAAACCGGTGAGCCTGGCTGTATGGAATACTGTTTTTACAGTGGCGTGGGTGATCGCTTTGGTAATGGAGGTATTGTTGTCGATCCGTTGGTTTGCGATATAGGGTTGTAGAGAGCTTCTCTTCTTCTATCGTTATGGTAACATCAAGAAAATTTACGGTTACTTGCGAGTATGTGTGTGCGAAGTGTATGTTCGGATGTACAGCATTGTATAAGTGTCGATAAAGCTGAGAAGTTCGTCCTCGCTGTGGGTCCAAATAAGAAAGATGTCGTCTATGTATCTTCTGTATAACATTGGTTATAGGGGTTAGGGGAGTCCACCTTATATTCTTTTTCTCTTTTTTTCTTTTTTCTTCTTTTTTTCTTTTTTTCTGTCTTTTTTTCTCTTTCCTTTCCCTCTGATTTGAGATTGTATAAAGCTGAGCACCAACAAACTGTACCTTTAATCCTGATGAAGGCCAGACTCTAGGCCGAAACGTCGAAATAAACCACGTTGTGACCGCTCACGGAGGATCTACTGGACTATATGCAACGCTACGGCCACTCAACCACCATGCCTGCCTATATATATATATATATATATATATATATATATATATATATATATATATATATATATATATATATATATATATATATATATATATTTAATGCCAGAATTACACTGTTATTATGAGGCACGCCCGAGTAAGGGACACTAAATCTATTTTGACCGCCTGTGATTCGTTTGCTCGCACCCATACCGTACCTAATACAGAGGTTGTGCACTTCGGCTGTAAATAAATGCAATTTTCATGACTCAGAATCGAACCCACGTCCTTGAGATCTGCAGCGCGACATCATAACTGCTAAGCGGCCACGCTTGGTGCCTCTTGAGACATCGTAAATAAAGTGCTTGGCATCAATAGGTTGAAAGTTTCGCAATTGAATTTGCTCTGCACTTATAGTTCACCTCGGCGATGTCAATGACGAGGTGAACTATAAGGTCTTTGTTACAGGATTTAACTGTGGCATTGCGTGCACCATATAAGTGCGACATACATATCAGAGCCTCTGTTTATTATTTCCTTCTTTCCTTCCCTCTTCCGCCCCTTTTATCTCTCCATTTCCTTTTCCCTTTCAACCTGCGAAGGGTAGCAAACCGGACTGATGCCTGGTTAACATCTCTGCCTCTTTTCTTTTGTACTTTTCCTCCCTTGCGTGCCACAATTTTTAGGTATAAAGCCCATTTGGAAGACCACCTGAATGGTATCACTATTTCGACGTCTTTAATATGAAAGAGGCGCCAAGAAAAGCGTAACTGCAGGGCTACTGGCGAGACAGCGTGTAGAGCGCGTCATCTTTGTCTTTAATGAGAAATAAATTACATTAGAAAGTACTAAATGCCGCGTGATTGTATTATCCTAAAAAAACTATGCAAGAACGACAGACAAACGCAGAGAAGCAAATGAGCGCTTGTTTGTCTAATCTTGTTCGTCTGTTGTTTTTTGCTGTTCTTTTTTATGATCATGAACAACCGACCAGCCAGAATTATCACCCTTGCTTGTAATTTCGCTTACATAATGTTCTATTCTGCTTGTTTGTTGTTTTAAATGCGTAGCATTTCTTAGCGAATTTCGGCGACTTAGAGCGTATCTATCTATCTATCTAGCCGCTTACGTTTGGGTGCTCTCGTGGTCACCCCCCTAACTTGGCGTGAACCAAAATTAGCGTGGGAAGGTAAGATGATTTGACGAAGATGACGCGCGAGTCAAGACATGAATAATGTCACAATTCCGTCGCGTACGTCGCCAAACACTTCCCGGCAGACAGTGACACTTAGCGACGGGTGGGTATGTGCCACTTGTATGCGGGTATGTGCCACAGGTGATAGACACTTAGTGTCTAGCCAGGAACGACGAGAACACACATGGGCAATTTCAACGCACGAGCGTTAAGAAATACCCTACATCGGTAGCGTCGACCTGACGAATGCAAAGAATAAATGTCAGGGTCCTAGTTGAAATCGAATTCAAGCATTCTCCGTGGCAATGAAGAATTTTACCACAGAGCTACGCCAGGTCTCGGAACTACTTTTCAAATAGACGCTAATCTTCGTGAAACGTCAATAGTGGTTGCAGTGCTGCCTACCCAATTTTATAAACATTACATAAGTATTCCTTTCATACAGCCGTCACGTTGAGTTGATGTCAATTGTGATTAGTTGCCATGCGCTGAACTTGATTTATGTAGCAGTGTCTAGGGCCAGCATCCTCGCGAGTATCGGTGCTTCATATCAGCTTCTGGTGTTGCTAATACGCATGTTCTAGTTGGCATCGTTGCGCAAGTGTAAACAACTGGTTATATAAACATCTGCAACTCTTCAACATATGTCTGTTGGTGCAACATTTGCACATATATTTAAAGTCATTCAATGACGTGTCGCTCAACAAAAATTATGCAACACGGTCGTTTTCCCTCCGCATGCTTCGCATAACGTTGATTTCCAGGTACATGAGGTCTGCTGAATTTTATTAGCAGGTAAGGTGCGCTCTATACTGCCCTTTCAACCACACAGTAATGCACGTACTCCATAACTATACCACTGACTATTGAAAAAATAAGAGCAGGACAACGTCCAACCTTATCTTACACTTTAGTTCATTATTTTATTTCTCCATTTCCTGCTTCAGTCCCAATATTTCACAAGTGTACCATTTCTATGTATTTGTTAAGAGGGGTGGCGGTCTTTTCACTGCGTCTCCGCATGTTGAAATCAACGACGCGATGCAGCC